TTTTTTTGAGAGGTTTTTGCTATAGGGTGCGTGTGCTCGCCAGAAAGAGACAGAGACAGAAAGCAAGAAATCACCCTCCGGGGGGATGGCCATGCCACGAGATGGCCTTCTCCTCCATTCTCCTCTCGGGATCTTGGGCATGCACGCACATGTGCCTGGCGTGAGTTTAAGCCACTGGGTCTGGGACTCGAACTATGGTCAACTACATGGGAATCCAGTTACATAGTCATTACGCCAACTGCTGGTCCCTGATTCATTCTCTTTTAGGTACATAAGGATCAGGCTGGCTCTCTGGGTCATGTTTTTGACCATGGATTCATTCAGGAGACCCACTCTGACCCATAGCCAGACACTGTGCTGCTGGCGAGGCTGTGGGGCTGGACCCAGGCCCAGCATTTCCGGAGCTGAGTCCAGGCCAGGGAAGAGATGAGCAGGCGGAGGCTCCAGCGTCGTCAGTGATCGGGGTGGATGGGAGGACGTGAATATTCGAGGGCTATGACCGTCATCAGCCATATCATATCCTCATCTTCTCTGCTTAACGCCTCGCTTGTAATAGTTTTTCTTACACACGATTACTTTCCTCAAAAGAGAGTACATTTTAGTGTCTGTCCGAAAGAGGGTCCTGGTTAGTGGATCTCAACACCATGGGCCTCCTTAGTGCATGCGCCTTGCTTGCTCACACCTAAGCCAATTGCTTCTCCAAGTTCATTCCCTGGAGGAATGAAGAGCCGGAGGGAGAGAAAACCAAGCTGGAGGACTTTGGGGGGTGAAGGAGAAGGGGTGGTCACAACTAATGTGCAAAATAAAAAAGGGGGTCAGAAATATTTTCTAATGGCACAGTGCAATATACCAGACTTTTAAAAAAATTGATCACATGTAAGCATAGCATGGGTTATACTTCAGACTTCCTGCTTCATGTGCAGATTCACAAAGTTAAGGCATCTGCTTTGCCAAGAAAACCCTACGTATATGTACTTAACACATAGTCCTTTGTGTATATTTGAGTACACAATTCACGAAGCATCTGGAGCAGTATTTCCATAATAGGAATCTTAACATTAAATCCCCGTGAAAACACAGGTTATGGACGAGATGTCCTCTGAGAGTTCAGCTGGTCTCCCAAAGGTGACAGCAGCTTGAAAAAGATTCTTTGACTTAAGGGGCCTTACCACCCTCAAGACTACCTGGTGCACCCACCTTCCTCAGAGTGTGGGAGCTGGCGACCCCTTTTCCAGCTGGCTCACTGGGCGTGGGTGCTGGCGAGAGGAAGAACAGAGGGAAGCTGTCTGGTTGCTTCCACACCTACACACACGCACACGCACACGCACGTGAGAGTTGGCGACAGGGAAGTAACGCTGCGAGCCTCTTGTGGAAGTGTCCAGAAGAAGCGAGGAGGATCACAGAGAGCTGCGATTGTCTCCCCTGCACACTCTGCCACTTCGGACCCTGTGACTGACCTTCCTACTCTGAGTCATAGTGACCTTTGTCCAGAGAAAAGGCAATGGTGTTCACATCTCACTGTCAAGAGGGTGGAGAGGAGCCATTGCACAAAGCCCACACTTACACAAGTTTCCCCTCCCCCTCCCCCAGCTTTCTCCATTAGGTGGGAGTCACAAGGCATCATTAGGTGAAGAGGACTGAGAGAATTCCTTATCATGTTCTAATAATGGGGAGAGGCAACAGCTTTGAAAATGATGATCTAACAGCATAGACACATTCCCATTTAGGCTGTGCGCTGCTTTTCAAAGCAGGGCTGTGTTTGGGACCAGATGTTAGCGTAATGGCTATGTTGCTGGACTCCCATGTAGTCGATCGCAGTTCGCGTCCCGGACCCGGTGGCTTAAAACTCACACCGGGCACGTGTGCGTGCGTGCCCAAGATCCCGAGAGGAGAATGGAGGAGAAGGGATTGCGGCATGTCCATCCTCCCTGGGGGGGTGATTTCTCACTTTCTCTCTGTCTCTCTCTGTCTGTCTGGCAAATGCACGTGCTCTATAGCAAAAACCTCTTAAAAAAAAAAAAAAAAAGAAAAAGAA